GAAAGAGTTGTGCATTTGAATGCCTACACAGAAGTGTCAGGCAGATTTGCCTAGATCCACAGGTCAGGCCACTGTGAAATCACAGCTAAGAAAGAGCCACGTCTGAAAGAAGAAAAGGAGCTGCAGCATGTCCTGTGCATAAAGCTGGCACCGAATTTTCTGAATTAATGAATGGGAAATCCAAAGTCACACTCAAACACGTTCTGTCTAGCCAGGATGAAGCACTGACCTGAGGTCCATGAGGTTATTTCCGATGAACAGTGTTGTGAATGTGCCTTTACTCTAACTGTGATAATGAGGAATCAACACCAAAGGGACGTAACTGCTGTACGTTGCTTTCTAACTCATCACAGAATTTGCATTTTTTTCCCCCTTACCTTCTCCCATACACGTTTTATTCAGCTTTCTCTCTGTATCAGAACAAAAAGGTCAAGCAAGATCCTATTCTAATTAAGCTCCCTGCCTATCACTGTCGGGCACAGTGCCAAGAGCAGCAGGGCCCTGGCGCAGGTGCTTCTAGGCTTTACTGTGAAATGCGTGTCACAGTAGATAGCCAGGCAAATGATGCAGCTGCAAAAAGGCAGTTTCAGAGCTCCACAACTACACAGAAACTGCCAGCAGTTCAGTAGGAATATTTCCAAGAACAAAAGGTAACGAAGGAAAGAGAAATGGTCAGCAGTTTTTAGTGCTGCAATGGGGCAGAGTCAAACAACAAGAAAGTTACAGGTCAGTACAGAGAGAAAGCAACATATAAACATCAAGGCAGAACAAAATCTCCACTTTTTCTGCTAGACATCGGGATAAAGAACATTATTAGAATCTTCCAGTTGAGAGCACCATTCTGAAGAGCAAGAGAGTTTTTCAAGAAGTGTCTGAATATGCATCACAAAACCTCTCCTTTTCATATATACACATCTTATGCATTCCCATAAACCTGGTGAAGTGTAACTATACTTACCACCAGCCTCATTTTTCACAAAAAACGTTATGGTGGCTTGCCCACTGACAGTAGTAAAATACTCCTAATCACTTTCAAAGCTCAGGCTGAGATTATAGGTATAAGGCATTAAATCCCGTTATCCCATTAGATTCCACAGACAGGCCACAGGCTTATGTGGATATTTTGGTATGCTAAAGTGCTTACTATTCAAAATTCATTTGCACTATTTTATTTTTGCCAGTACATTTTATCATTTCCTTTTCCTCATTTGAAGCAAGCACAGGAAAGCACTTACCATCTCACACAACTGCCAAATGATCCTTTGATGTGTCGTTAGCACTTATCAGAACTGAGGTTCCACTGTATGACATTTTGCTGAATATCACTGTATTCTGACCTGTGCAGGTCTAGGCTTTCTTATTATGAATTCACAGCAGCAGCTAGCGCTGAAAGCCTCTGTTTCCAGGGGACACCTTTCCCTCGCCCTTTATGGGATCCTGAGGTTTTAAAGTAAACAATTCATTCTCTTTCTGATAAGTCATATTAAAATATTGATCTGGGGGGAGGGAGATGGCCCTCACAGCACAGAGCCAGAGTCACCTTTAGTCAAATGACTAAAGAAAGGAAAAAAAGTCCTGAAAGTTCAATTTTCTCTGTCCCTTCAGACAGAGCATAGGTGGGCAGGGAAAAAGGTGGGAAAGTGGGAAGTTATATTAACCTGGTCTGAATGAAGTCAAATGGTATGCCTTAAAAATGCTATTGCACTGGTATGTCAGCAAAATATGGGTTTTTTTTTTTCAGCTGCCTGTGTTTGTTTAACCCTGAGATGAAGAGCTTTTTTCAGTCTTCATGTTAATTGCTTATTTCTTTCAGTGAGAGTGACTGCATCAGTTCTTCGGATCATAGTGCTAATCTTACTGTTTACTGCTGGATCTTACCATTCTTTACTACTCTATTACTATTTATTTTCATTTACTCTCCTTTTTGCACAGGCATTTTCAGAACTCTCATCACTAAAGAACCTGCCAGTGTACATTTTTAATGTGTTTTATTTTCCAGCAAACCCATGAGATGGGGGAAATAAGTCTGATTTCAGTTAAGCCCATCTGAACACAGATGGCAAAATGAGGAATTAAAGACAAGTTTCAGGATCTTATCTAGATAATCAACAGCTTGCCCTCTCCTTGCTTTCAAGCTTTTGTATAAATGAGTCTTCAAGAGAACATAAATGCAACGTCTGTTCTTGTTAAGACACCTTCCCTGACCACAGCCAGAGCAGGACAACCAACAATTATACCACTGCATAAAACCCCACATTTAAGGTATGCTAAATTTCACCTCTTTTATAAAGGCTAGTGTGGGACTTGAACTTGAGCGTTCCCTCCATATAAATTAAAGTCACACCTTCAGGACAATAACCTTCCTGATAGTTAACTTGTTGCTACTTCATTGCTTGCTTCCTTACCATGCATTACCTCCATGCTTCTACTCCATTAGCACATAAGCATTGTCTAACAGTTCATTCTTAAGTGAGAATACTGTTAAAAAATAAAAATAAAAACAAGGTGAAGTTCCCAGTATAATAACTCGCATAGGTGAGGAGCCAGGTGACTTTATTGGTTTTGCCCTGATGCCTTCATTTGGCAGTGGAAAAGCACTGGGAAATCAAACCTGAAAGAAATCATGTATCTTGCTCTCTCCTTGCTCTCTAGTTTTCATATAAATAGATCTTCAAGAGACCATAAATGCAAGTTTTGTCCTTGTTGAGACACATTCCCTAACCACAGCCAGAGCAAGATTAAATAGTCTAATGTATACGAACTCTAAGAATTAGAGCTCTCCTTTTGTGAGAATGGTCCTGCATCTTAACAGATCCAAACACATAATACAATACTGTATAACGGGGGAAAAAAACCCTGAACTACAAAGACACTAGAATGCCTTCATCTGTAGCAATTTATGGCACGTCTTTTCTCCTTTTAGTTGTCATGTATTTGGACTGTAAATTTGTCATGGCAATAACTATCTCCTACTGTTTCCTAACACGGTGCCTAATCACAGTCTCAGGTACTCCAGTACTACAAATAAGGGCAGCAGTGATGAATAAAGAAGGTGCTACGCTGCACTTCCTACATGAATGAAAGGAGCTCTATTTATAGGTTCTTAGCAGTCTTATTGCTGCATTGATAGGCCAAGAATAATTTTACTCTTACGGAAAACTCAAGAATACATAATTATGAGGAATTAATGACACATCTTTATGCCCTCCTCCCAGGAGAAGAGAAGGAACAAGCCAAAATTCTGCGGTCCTAAAAGTATTCACAGTATCTACTTCAGGAGCTTCTGCTTCTTGTGTAGCCAACAGGGAGAAATGAATATCTATAAAGAGATGATTAATACTGTCTAGGTTAATTGGCTAACTAGCCGGTCTGACTGCTTCACTGTATCCTTTTCTATTTGTTTTAAGAAAAAGATTTTATCCTCATTCGCACAGAGCACAAATGAATATGCTAACAGGTGACATTTTAGTAGGAAAGCAGAGAATGGAATGAGACGGGAAGAGAAAAAAAAAGCACATGGCTGAATTTTAGTTTGCATACGCTGTGTTATATGATAAGGGGTTGCAGAAACACACTGAAATTAAGAATTCTGTAACAACACTGTCTCAGTCACTTGCTTTTAGATTAAAAGTAGCCCCAGTCAATATGTTCTGCCTAACTTCAACTGCTGTACAGGAAGGAAAACCATAGCTACCTGTCCATGTCTGCTGACTACACAGCCACTTGGATGCACAGTCTTATTTTTTGTCCTTACAAAGACATTAACAGAAGATGACCAGGAAAATTCTGGAGTGAATCACACAATCTGGCCGATAACCAAACGTCAAACAAAACCAGGATCTATTGAAGTCAATAGAAACTTTCCCACTGATTTCTGAAAAGTCAGGCTAGCATCTACAGCATTTATATGTCTGGATATTCTTTGTGTATGCAGACATCTTGTGCAATAGGACCCTGATTCTGCTATGATTATTATTACTAATAGACTTGCTGTAATATGAGGAGAAATATATCCCCAGTTACAGGTATTTTTTTTAGCCTCCCAATGACTAGGTCAGACAGATTGTGACTCCAGGAATCAGGAGGGCTCTTAACCCAACTTTGCTACTTGCCATATGCAAAACCTAGCACTACTCTCAATCTTTGTGTTATCTTCTGCCCTTAGTCTATTTAGAAATTCTCCTGAAGCAGGGACTTTTTTTTTTTATTTGGTATTAGTATTGCTTCTATTCAATGAAAACTGTTTCCGTTGAGACTTCCATACACACACAATATAGAGAAGTTGAAATTACCAGTAGCAGCAGGGTAGTAGTTCCTAGTCTGTCCACAACGTTAAAACAAGGCTTGTGGAAAATATTTATTTAAAAGTAAATTGTGTTTCTGAATAAAAACTGTTTTCCCCAAAATGGAACTCTGCAATTGAAAGTAAAGTACTGCCCATGGAGTCACTGACGATAATCTGAAACAGCATTGCAACATCCGTTACTGTTGCAGACTTGTTTTGTTCCAATTCTTTGAAATTAAATGCCAAATTATTTGGAAATTCATGAAAAAAAAACTGAACCAGTTTGTTTAAATGTTGGTAAAGGTGACACAAGGACAAATAATGCAATACACATTGCACATTCATCCGAGGGCCAAATTCTCCCCTTGAAAATATGTAGCTATGACCCTGAGCAAAAGGATCTAACTCTGAAGCTCAATCTGACTTTGAAGCTGGCACTGCTCAGAACTGAGGGGTGGACCTTATGTCCTCCAAAGGTCCCAACCTACTAAATTATTCTGTGATTCTATGATTCGATCCTATGTGCATAGCTCCTGCTGACCGTGGTGTCACTATACAAAGGCTGAAATTTGGTCCGTGTAGGAGAATCTTTCCTATCATTTTTCTTATATAAAATGTGGGGGATATAAAGAATTAAATAGAAATTTGAAGGACAGAGCTTTTTCTCTGTGGGAAGAGTGAAAGAACATCCCCCAAATTGAAGGAATAACTTGTCACAGAGCCAAATAGGGCTTTTTACACTGGAAAGTTTTTAACAGTGAGAAAGTTTTTCAAACTGGGAAGATTTAACAAGGAGAAAGAAGCTAAGATTTGGCTCTATTGAAGAATTATGAAATTCTTCAATGAAGAAAAACAATTCGGGCAAAAAAGCATTCTGTGCATGAAGATCTTAGTGGTGTATTAGGAGAATCATGTCATGCTGTTTAGAAATGATATGGGTCTACAGGGGTTTGGGAGTGGCACAGTCCCTTTGGAAGAATAAAGCTTCTTTGCAGCTGGCTAATTTTGAGCATAAATCTATTATGGGTTCAACAAAACTCATTTCGAAAGCTTATTAGGAGCTTAAAAGAACACAATTACTTTTCCTATTTAGAGTAGATTTTGAAAAGCCAATGCCACCATTCAGTTCAAACTGAAGACTCTCAGATAAGGGTTAATTTACATGACCTGAAAGAGGCTTGCATGAATTGGTTTTCATTCTTCTTTTTTCCTACACTTACATGAAAGCTTTCTCTTCCTCATTTGTATGGTCTAACACCTCATGCTAGTCAGCTAATTTATCACAAACTCAGGCTGAGATCAGCTGCAGTTTTGTACGGGATGGACAAGTGGAGCCTCAGTCGAGGAGGGAGTTGGAGCAAAAGATTCTGATCTGAAAAGTCTGATGCTATAAGACAAAGGGGGTTAAAAGGAACAGCTGAGGCACCGGTTCACAGAGACCCCAATTCCGCAATGCACAGGCCTGTAGTTATTTAAAGACTTTTCTTTAGGTTCCAATTTCAGAATTTAACCATTGCACTAATGGGCACTCACTTATGGGAATTTGAGTCATGGCTTTATGGCTTTACTCCAGGTCTCTCTGTAATGAGCATGTGATCAATACGCTTAGAACTGAACTGACTTTGGGCTGCCTATTTCATCTGTGGAAAAATCTTGTTGCAACCTCCAAGTGCTGGACATGGCATACTTGATTTAAACATTTCACACAAATCTGTGTTGAAGTTATTGGCCAGCTCCTTTATAGGGTAAAATGACATATATCCAGTGATGTAACTGACTTTGTCCCTTTGCTATGACCCCTTAATTTCAGTGAAGCTATGCTTATTTATGTCAGTTTAGGATGTGACCGTGTTGTTTCGAGAGGAAATTGCTAGAGAAATCCTTGGGCTGCAAGTGGGCAACGCTCGTTCAAGGAAGCCCTATTTACCAGCTCTAATACCACAGGATAACAGACAAAGGTGAAGCGTATGTAGTACTAGGACACCTTAGATCGCAGAAGGGAAAACGTTATGGTCCTTCTTAGTCAATGGCTGGTGGTTAAAGATTACCTATTCTGGTCGTTCTGACTACTAGATAGAGAAAGATTAACTTAAAACTTAGGATA